TTTCTCTGCGTTTCAGATGTTGAGAAGTCTGTCTTCCTAAGTCTCCCTGTAGATACGTTTGTGTACTCAAGCTGCTTCCCAGGTTCTTGCTGGGTCCTGACCTTCTCCCAAGAATCCCAAGTCCTTCTCAGTGTGATCAAAACCTGTCCTTTGAGTCCATTAGTACTTTAAATAAGATTATTTTAAAAAAAATTGGTGATAGTTTTTCCATATATTTTGAATATCCTATAGTTTTTTAAATGTGATATTTTATTGATTTCTATAAAGAGTTTTGCATGAGGCTAGTGTTAAGAACTTGGCCCTGTATGATAACATTAGAGGTCTGGTGCACGACTTTCATGCACTGCGAGGGGGGCGGGGGGTCCTCAGCCCGGCCTGCACCCTCTTGCAGTCCGGGACCCCTTGGGGGATGTCTGACTGCCAGCTTAAAGAGCAAGCTTAGGGAGCGAGCCTAAGCCGGCAGTTGGATATCCCCCGAGGGGTCTAGTGCTACCTCAGAGTTGGGAGAGGCTCCTGCCACCACCACTGCACTTGCCAGCTGTGTGCCTGGCTTCTGGCTGAGCAGTGCTCCCCCTGTGGGAGGGCACTAACCACCAGGGGAAAGCTCCTGCACTGAGTGTCTGCCCCCTGGTGGTCAGTGTGTGTCATAGCGACCAGTCATTCTGCCCTTTGGTCAATTTGCATATTAGGGTTTTATTACATAGGATGGTCTCTAAGGGATAAATCAGAAGCCAATTGAAACATTTGGGAATACAGAAAGTATGACAGGTGGAATAATGGATCATCAAAGATATCCATGTTATAATTCCTGGAATCTGTCAATATTCTATTTATCAAAAAAAATCACTAATTATTTTTAAAAATAACCCTATTTAGTATTAATGGACTCAAAAGAAAGGTTTTAGTCACACTGAGAAGGACTTGGGGTTCTTGGGGTTGTCTCATATGGCAAAAAGAGCTTTAGAGAAGTGATTTAATTATGGATTTTGAGATTGGGAGACTTTCCTGGATTACTGGGTGGACCTAATGTAATTACAAAGGTTCTTATAAGAGGGAAACAGGCAATCAGAGAAGAAAGAAGTAGCTAAGCTCCTGCCTGGAGGATAGCAGAAGGGGCCACAAGCCAAGGAATATAGGTTGCTTGTAGAAGCTGGGAAAGGCAAGGAAGTAGATCCTCCCCTCAAGTTTCCAGAAGTAACACAGACTTGCCAACACCTTGATTTTTGACTTCTGACCTCCAGAAATGTAACAAAATAACTTTGTATTGTTGTAGCCATTAATTTGTCATCATCTGTACAGCACCCATAGGAAACTGAAGCAGAAACTTGTTAAACAATGTATGCCTGCTATTGTCTAATGTACATGCATACCATTGCCAACACACTATTTAGGAATCTTAGTAGTACATGGGTCTTTCCCTCTGGAAATTTTTCCTCTTCCCTGCCATTTTACTATCTTCTCCCACTTCCCACTCTCTCTAGTGTTTCATATCTCAGTTAAATAGTTATCTCCCCAAGAGAACATGTGGAACCAACACCCTCCACCCCCACTAATCCAATGCCCGCCAGTCAAAATTGGGATCCTTAATGTTATTCTCTTTCCTACACCCTGCACCCTTACAACATTTTAAATTATTTATTTATGTCAATGACCATTTTGTTGTGTGTATCTCTGTGCTATTATACACTTGGTAGGCACAAGAATCATATTTTGTTTTGCTCACTATTATGACCACAGCACACAATAGGTATCCAGGATGTATTTCTTGGCTGAATGAAAACATCCCATAATTCTGCATGTTTTGTAAATCGTGCCTCATAATGAAGTCTATCTAGAAGCTTGAGCAATAAACTAACACACTTCCTTCTCTGTCAGAGGACATGAGGCAGGCTTTGCAGTAACTGTGTTCCTCTGAAGTCTTAGTCAATGTCATCATTATTCAGCCAGGTGACAACTGATGGATGTTTTGTGTGACACGTGTTATCTAAGAAATACTATAATATTTCCCCAATATTCCTGTTGGATAACATTCAAGATGCTTTTTCTTGCTTTTATCTTTATTATATTGTTTTGCAACATAACTCGTAAAATTCTTTAGTAATCTTAAGACATCTATTTGAGAACTGACTTTAAGAGCTTAGAAGGTCATGAGTACATTATTTGTATCTTCTGCAATTTTGATTCCTCAAGCTAAAGATATGCCTGAGATCTTCTTGGGATGGAGAAGTGATTAACATTTGTGAATGGTTTTATGAAGCCTTAAAACATTAAATGATTAATGAGAATATGAATAAATTTTCTTTATATGTGGTTCAGAAACGTCACCATGTGATTGCAATGGGTTTTGCTGTTGTTGCTATTGTTTTAGAAATATTTTTCCTGATTGCAGATACAATATAAAGATGGTCTTTAAATATTAGATAATTTTTTCCATAATTATTCTGAATTTTTTATGATGTTTGTTCATATACATCACCTTTGTTAAACATTGATTCTGATTTTAAATGTGTCAATGGAAAGGAAAGGAATTTTATTGAGGCACTATGAGATTCCTATATGTCACTATGTCCATTAGCCTATTCTTCATAATAATTTATGAGATAGATTTTATTAATCCCACTAGTAACCCTGCACATGAACCCGTGTACCAGTAGGTTGCTGCCGCCCTCCTGTAGCTCTCCGCCTGCTGCCCCCCCATCGTGTAGCTCCCCCCCGCCCCCTCCTTGTTGCCCTGCCCTCTCCTGTAGCTCTCCGTCTCCCTTGCTTGCTTCCCTGCCCTGGCCTGTAGCTCTCTGCCACCTGCTTGTAGCCAGTAGATTGCTGCCGCCCTCTTGTTGCTCTCTGCCCACTGCCCTGCCCACCTGTAGCTCCCCCCACCCTCCTCCCTCCCCTCATAGCTTGCTGCCCTGCCCTCTCCTGTAGCTCTCTGCAGCCCACTTGTACCTCTCTGGCCCACGCTCCTGCTGATCTATTATCTGGTCCTGATGTGCTTGGTTGTTGCGTCTCAGGGCGTAACAGCTAATTAGCATATTCCTCTCTTATTATACAGGATTATACAAAACAAAAAAAGAAAGTGAGGGCCTTGCAGCTTAAGCAGCTTGTTTAAAGCCAGCTATAAGGTCCATGGCAGTGCCTGACCTAAGTTCATGCCATGTCCTCTAGACTACACGACCTTCAATGGATGCCTGCAGACCAGCACAGCATTCTTGATGGCTCTTCCCAAAGCAGACCAGTTCAAATGTCCCTTTCCTCGAAGCCCTATGCCAGTGGGCCCCAGACCTCAAGATGGAAATAGCTAAATAAGTTGGGGTACTGGACCTTATAAAATAAATCCCGTTGTGTTCAGCACAGCCACTTTGACCTCTTAATATTATCAACCTCCACGGAACACAGGTTTTGTGGCCATAGTTGCTGTAGTAGGACTATGCTCTATGCTCACTTAATCCTGTGGCAAGAAAAAAAACACACTCATGCACACATAAAAACAAAAAACAAAGAAACCCAGTCTTCCCAGTGATGGGAAGAAACTCATGAGAAGAATTTGTAATAACTGCAGCTCTTGGTTTCTAAAGTTATCAGAGGCCTCTAACAAAACATATTTTAATTTTTTGGATTTTTTTTTGCCAGCCTTTCACGTTAGAAACCTCCCTTTAGGGAACTCTTTTCATCTTGTCCCAATGGAATGTAAATGATGACTTCATGTGTTTAGTGACAATAAGGTGAGGGAAGGAAGAATATCACACAGTCACCTCTGAAATGCCCTGGTCAGTTATTCTGGCTTAGCCTCTTATTAACAAAAAAAGTTAGTAAACCTTTCAGGCACTAAAGCTTGATGTGCTTTTCAGCATACCTGGCAAGTGCAGGATAAATGCTTCATTGGTATGGATTTGAGCAATCAGTGATTCTCAGTAAAAGAAAGTCTAGCCCAACAGCAGACTACATAAATAGCTGTTCAGAAACTGAGTCAGGTTCCAGCTAATGCTCTTGTATTTGCACATCTCCCAGTCAGAAAGGGAAAAATCAGACCCGCCTTTTTTATTTATTCCCCTGTGTTTCCTTAACCTTTGTTTTTAATACTAAGCAAGCAACCGATGGCCCTCGAAATTAGAATTTATGCCATTGCTGCCATTTTTTACTAAAAGAAAACTGGAAGATGACATGTCCTTAAGGATAGTGGATGCTAAGAAAACCAGTGACAACACAAGCACCCAGGAACATCAACAAAAAGCATGGATGCAATGAACAAGGAGGTTAATAACTTCCCCAATGGGAGGCATTTCATGATGCCAACCGCCCTAGGTGGTCAATAAAGAGCTTGATCTAGAAATGATTATTCAATTTTAGGTCTGCAGGATATATAATAACTAGCCTGTCAAATGTTTTTTTGTTTTGTTTTGTTTTACCAATTTGTTTGAATTGTCTTTAGACACAACTGTGAAACTCAAAATGTCTACTTGACTCTGTTTTGTAAGCTGAAAAACACCCAGCAAGCCTTTTTATTTTCTTAACAAAATGGCACAGTATTATTTAGAAGTTGGAGCGAAAGCTTTTACTGCTCGGCCTGTAAAAAGAAACAGCACAACCCAGCAGAGTCGCTGACAAGTGACACAAATACAGTCCACACTCATGTGCAGAGAGAAACAACCTTGAGAATTTAAAACCGGCTGCAGCAGAAAAAAATATCTTCATCCAGATATGCGGTCCCTTATGAATTATACTATTATTTTAGTTGATTTTACCTGACATCACCCTATGATTTTCTTCAGTGACAAGAAAATTGCAGCCGGCCCTTGACAGTTGGTCACAAATTGACTGCACAAAACAAAATAAAACAGTGAAGTAATCCCCAAGTAAATTTAATGAAACCTAAATCCCAGAGGGCAGCACGCTTCTGTAGGCAATGGTCTTATTTAATAAATTTCCCCCTGCTTTCACTTTTAGAGCTATATTTACACAGACAAATTTAATTCATTTGGGTTTACATTTCCTCTTCCCCTTAGTTTGTCCACCAGGCACATATGGGAAGGACTGTAAACAGGTATGTCAGTGTTCGGCCGAGAAAGAGGACTGTCACCCAGTGACAGGGAGATGTACCTGTCTGCCCGGCTACCATGGAAACCACTGTCATCTTGGTAAGTGTGTTCTCCGCTTTAGTTGTAACTTATTGAAGAGACACCGATAGAGTGGGTCATCACTTGGAATGCTAACGAGCAAATGTGAATTCAAGCTTCTAATTCATAACAGGTCTTATGGGCGTTTTTATTGGAATGGTTGAAAACATAAACTTTTTTGTGTAATTTGTTCTCTGACTTTGCCTTTTCCATTAAAATTATCTCCCTGAAAAGAGACAGGAAACAGATAAAGAAAAAGAAATAAATAATAAAACATGAACTGATTATTATAAATCAATGTACAGAAATAGCAACATACGAAAGTGATATATCAAGTAAGTTCTAGGATCTGCTTAGGAACAATCAAATTACACAACTTGTTATTCTGGAATGAAAACAATGACTTGCTTAAAGGATAAAATGCCAGTTGGCTCATTGTTATGTAATAAATAAAAGAATATTCCCTAGACCAAACACCTTATATTGATCTGCTAGGAATTTTAACATCGAAAACGTTTATAGGAGAACACACAATCAAAAGTCCCAAGGAGCATGTTAAAATGTTCAGTCAGCTACTTAATTTTTAAGCTTGTAATTATTTGTAATGTACTTTTTATAGGTTTAAGAATAAAATGATTTGGCCTCAGTTTCATTTTTTCCCCCAACTTGGCCATCGCCACTCTTTTCTCTTAGTTGCTCCCAACGCAGATTCCTTCTATTTTCCTTTCCTAATCTTGCCAGTATGTGGACTGATTTCTGGATTCCCTACCCCTTCAAATGCCACCTATGAAATATACACTCATGGTCAAGCTATTGATTTTAATTTTCTGCAGGCCACAGAATGTATATTTTGAATATCACTTCTTTTTTTTTGCCCTCATTTTAAAAATTACCAGCTAAACACACAATTAAGTGTGTATGAAGTGGTTTCATATAGCATTGTGTTTGGAATCCATAACCACTACAGTTATTCAAAATGAAGAACTAAAATGTAAAATTATTAAAATTTTAATGATTTCTTTTGCTTATGGTGAATTTTAAGCACACTTGTAGTAGAGAAAGAAATGATTCCCTCACACTTGATTCTGTCATATTGCTCAGGAAGAATTACTTCTAGATATCAAGACATTTTATGTTAATAAAATATTATCAAGTTACAAAAAGCTGATAGCACTTTTATTTAGAAGGCAAGGCAAGCTACCTTGGGTTGAAGGAGGGTCACTTCGCCTTGTAAAAGCAAGGCTGAGGCAGGGAGCTGCTCCCTGACTAGTCAGGTTGGCTTAGTTCCAGGCAACACGTGGTTGGAAGTTGCTGCTAAGGTTCCTTGGCAACATCCACTGTAATTACAGGACTACGAAAAAGGGTTCAAGAAAATATTCATAAAAAGTGCAGCTGGCTCAAAAGCAAAAGTTTCAGCAGCCAAAAACAACTGGGCTTTCATGTTCTCAAGTTCAGATTGGAAGATCCAACTTTTCTCTTGGTAGAGGTCAGAGGAAGCAGACAAATGTGCAGTAGGAATCGTACCACTTGTCCATACTTTATAACGGGCTGGTCAGTTTCAGTGCGTGGATAGCATGCGGAAAAAAACAAGCGTCCTCAGGAGATGCAAACTCATCATGCTGTGTATTTTTGGACCTTTGAGAAATCATAAAGTGACTATGGACCTTGGAAATCTTTTATTTTTGTAACCTGCAGTACTCACTAGGTATAATGACTCTCTTTGAGAGAATTTAAGGCACTGAGGTCCTCTCAAAACATGGGCAATTCTGTTGACAGTATTCATAAAGCACCCTCATACTTGCTATAGAATGTTTGGAGAAAAATGGGCCACAGGAGAGCTCACCTGTGCCAGGAGATGATATCAAGATGTTGATAGCAGTCTCGTTCTCATGTTCTTCTTGCTCATAGCAATGAACATTTACAGGCCAAATCAGAGTATCTCTTTTAAGTGTAAAATAAAACTTCACAATAATGGCTAGTGTAAGTATGAGTTGTGAGTAATCTGGTCAAGTACTAGGAAATCAGACCCTGTTCAAAACAGATTTATGCATTTTATCTGCTTCAGAGCTATGACTCAGGATATAGTCACAATCTTGCTTGTTCCAAGTTCCTAATGAAACTACAAAGGCATTTACATCATCATAGTATATAGTCGCCTTTAAAGTTAAACAAATCAGGACTGTGAATTCATATCCAAGCTTCTTCCTAGTCAAACTACTTTAAGGAGAGGGGATGGTACAAGTGTGGGGGGGAAAAAACAGTCACCTTTTAATAGAAAATAACTAAACATCCCTTGTCAGAGAGACAAAGTTTCCCAGGAGAAGTGGTTGTAAAGGGCAGACCAAAAGCCAAGTAATGATCAAAACGGAACTTTAGGAAATGAGGAAAAGGAGGCTGAATTTCATGCAGGCAAGTCAAAAAAAATCATTATGTTCTGGGCATGTGTTTCCTTGTTCACTTTATTGAACATTTGAGCAAGGGATGTGTGCATGATTCCAGAAGACAAATTTTTACATAGCTACAGAATTATGCAAGAAAGTGGAATTGTTCATCAAAGTACTTATTTTTGAGGGGAAAAATAGCTATGGGCACTTCTTCTGTCAACAAATACCATACTCTTGATACCACTTTAATGAGTTGTGGGACTAAGAGGTTAGCACATATACTGTCTTTCAACAGATGGTGGACTCATTAATTTGTTCATCAAATTCAGTGTCCCTATTTCAAAAGGATAACTAAATTGAAGGCTAAAAATCAGGTAATTTTTTCTCTCTATATATAAAATAACAAAGAAATGATTTTATCAAATGCTCTACCACCATTACGATAATTTGCAAAATGGGTATACCTCAGAGGGAAATTATGTTTCCAAAGTAATTTTGAATCACATAAAAGTGATCTCAAAATATAGAGATTTACATATATCAGATATTTAAATTCATCAAATAATTATATATAACCTCCCCCCCTTCCAACTGAGATGCTGATTCTCTGATACCCATAATTATATTCACAACTTAACATTTTTCTCATTAACAAGTTCATAAGTTTCACTCTATTGGGGGTTGCTCTTTTCCTTATTTGCACAGAAATCCATGTCACCTTTCACTTCAGAGTAATGTGACTCCAGAATTTTCTATGCTAATCAACTCATTAATTTAACCCCCTTTGTGGAGGCAACATGCCAGCAGTACACACTAGACTTCCTTGTTTCAAACCCCATGCCTTCAACTTGCTCTCTCCGTATGTACTTCAATATCAATCAATCAAACATTTTTAAAGTATCACACATAGTAATGGTACAAACTACAAAAATTTACATTCTAAAAGACTGACCCAGAAGGACATGAAGAAGAATATTTTATCTTGGTTAATAAGAGAAGAGGAGGAGATGGAAACTTTTTTAATCATTAATATTGTTTGTAGGCTCATTCTATTGAATTTTTGTAAAGGAGTGAAAGAATTTCTTAGAAGGACTACAGAATGTTGTGTACCAGAAAAGTGTCAATTAGCAATAAAAACTGATATCCCTTGGAAGGAGGGGATTACAAAAGGGAAGGTGAAATAAACTCATTCATTTTTATAGAGAAAAATAAAGCAATACAACAGCTATACTAGAGAAATAACCTTTGGTATGAATAATTTTAAAGTGTTTTTCTTTCCACCTCCATCATGGAGAATGGAGACTTTTATTTTAAAATTATCTTTGCTAAAATTACTTATTCTTGGGGAAAGAGAAGGAAAGAAAGAAGCAGCCACTTTATGAGTCTGAGATTCAAGGTGAGAACCCTGGGTGTAGAACAGGATATCTGTAGGAATTATAAAAAAATCTGAACCTCTAAGAAAACCATTTTTTTACTTACACCTCTAAAACTCTGGTACATGTGAAATACTTAAAAATGTTCTTTGGCATCTCATCCTATAAATAAAAGGCTAATATGCAAATAGACCCAACGGTGGAATGACCAGTCGCTATGATGCACACTGACCACCAGGGGGCAGACATTCAATGCAGGAGCTGCCCCCTGGTAGTCAGTGTGCTCCCACAGGGGGAGCACCCAGAAGCTGGGCTCATAGCTGGGGAGTGCAGCAACAGTGGCAGGAGACTCCCTCCTCCGTGGCAGCACTAAGGATGTCCAACTGACGGCTTAGGTAAGACGTCAGTCGGACATCCACCAAGCTGTCAGTTGGACATTCCCCGAGGGTTCCCAAGCTGCAAGAGGGCACAGGACGAGCTGAGGAACCTCTCACCCTGAGTACATGAGTTTCGTGCACTGGGCCTCTAGTCCTTACATAAAAATACAGAATGAAAGAGAGGGAAGGAAGAGTCATGTTGTCTAGTTCAGTCACTTTTAGAGCTATGCTTCCAAGGAAAAGATTTTTCCAAGAGAAAGGACCTAAGGTAAATACTAAATCACTTGACTCAGGTCAAGCAGGTAAGGAAAGGGTTATGCTACAGGCCCACCAATGATCCTGTCACTATCAATGAAAATAATAGCTACCACTGACTTGGGTGATTTGTGGGTTTGGTAATGTGTTAGATATTCTATTTTTTCACTCCAGTTCCCACAATGGGCCTGTGATTTTGTTGTTATCCCCTTTGGAATGAAGAACCAGAAACTCAACGAAAGGGCTTACTCAAGGTGGTAAGACTAGTAAGTGGAAGATACAGGGTTCAAATCACAGTTTATTCCAAACTTGCTATAGCATTATATTTTAAATGTTTGACAAAAATAAAGAGAGTTATCTTCAACTGGTGACAGAATGCTGTGCAATAGATACTTCATGTCTATAGGCCTCAATTTTATCATCTTAAAATAAGAGTTGAACCAAATGGAGCTGAGGTCTCTTGAAACTCAAACTTCTATAATTTCAAGACTTTAAAATTTTCCATAGAGGCTATACCAATTTACATTCCCACCAGCAGTGTACTAGGGTTCCCTTTTCTTTGCATCCTCTCCAGCATTTGTTACTTCTTGTCTTATTGATAATAGCCATTTAACAGGTATGAGGAGGTAGCTCATATGGTTATGATTTATATTTCTCCTATTGCTAGTGAAGTTGAGCATCTTTTCATATATCTGTTGGCCATCTATATGTCTTCATGGGAAAAGTGCCTGTTCAGGTCCTCTGCTCATGTTTTAATTGGATTGTCTTCTAGCTAAACACCCCCAATCTTTCAATCATTGCACAGATAATGGGGTCTTCAGCTCACTCTTGGTCCTGTCCAGTGTCCCTTTATCTTGAAATATGGATATTTATCTAAAATTTCTATCACAGATATCATCATGGTAGGCTACATGTTCATGAATGTGAAAGTAGAAAGCTGAGAAACTAACCAAAAATAAAGACACTTCCTCTATGCTATTTTGAATTCTTACTTGTTTTATACCCAGGTCGTTCCAGGCAAGACAAGCTATAACACATAAATATTAATCAAAATAATAAATTTATCTAGGCTGGAATGAAATAACCTTGTTTGGTAAATTGTCCCCTATTATGATTATTCTCTAAAAGTAAGATTTTCAAAGAAGTTCAAAGTTGTTTCTTATAGCTTATTAATTAGAGGCATCAGGAACTTTATGTCCTCACCTATATTCCTATGGCATCTATATAATCGCATATCCTCAGGTAAGTCCACGCCTTGAATCAATAACTTGAAAGTACCAAAGAACAGTAATTGGAATGTTAAGTAAACCACATGTCTACGGGCATAAATTTAAACTGATTACTTCAAGTAACAGTACCACATATGGTTTGTTCTCCTTTAACAGAATGTCCAAAAGGCACTTATGGTCCCTATTGCCAAAGGACTTGTAAGTGCTTGAATGGTGGCAACTGTGACACCGTGATTGGCACCTGTGACTGCCCTCCAGGCTTCATTGGGGCTGACTGCAGTCAAAGTAAGTCACTCTACCTATTATGAAATGGATATGCTAAAGCAGAATTTTAAGAACCACACTCAGGAATTAGATATTGTTGCAGTTATGTTAGTTAATAATTTACTGTAGCAACAGCAAACACCAACTGACCTAATTTCTAAGTTGAGGAGCACTTACATTGGGAGTTTGATTTAGAGCTGAAGTCAATGAAGGCAGCCAGAGAGCCCTTTGATCATAACTTCTCTTGCCCTATCAATCCACTCACATCAGGATTTAAAAATCTGGCAAGATCAGATCAAACTGGGGATTCCTGTCTATACAATGTCAAATTCATTATCTAAAGTTCCAAAATGTCATTTATGCTCAGCAAATATCCAGCTCAAAATTAAGCAGTTCCCCCACTTTTCAGAAAGCAACTCATTCCCTAAAATCCAAAGACCTTAATACTTATCACAAAAACAACTATTGACATAGTTTAAGGGACCAGTTGTAAATGAAAGATCCCTTAAAAATGACCTGGCTTAAACACTTTGGGGATATCCTTAACAAATACATTTTGCTTTTATTACACCTGTTATTTTCTAAGCATTTGGATAGTTTGCAAGATCTCAATACTCTTTAGAGAGGGAGGGAGGCAATGGGTAGGAGAGCTCATGGTGGGGAGGTGGTCCTGGCAACCTTTGTTCTTGGACCTGTGTTCTTTGTGCTGTTGATGAGGTTGTTCACTTTGTGATCCTTCACTGAGCTGCACATGTATGTTTTTTGCACTGCTCTGTGTCTTATACTTTATAATTAAAAAAGTAAAAAAACCCATCAAGGATCTTAAATTACAGGTAGAATTACTGTGATTGTGAACTAGAGGTTTCTTTATTTGGAAGAGTGATAACGACATTCATGATCAGGCAGGGTGCTCAGTTGTTATGTGCTAAAGATATCCAAAATGCTTATCTCCTCTAGGCAGGTAATGGCTCAGTCTTCTTTGTATGAGGGTATTTTTAATTACCCTGCCTCAGTACCCTGCTGTTCTGAGGATAAAAGGCAAAAAAAGACAAAGTCCTGGCTCCTACTAGTGGAAAATTGAAACCTAGTGGATACTGCCTCTGAGGCCTCAACGGCCAAGTTGTCTTTGAGTTGAAGCCAACCCATAAACATCTCCTAAAGGTTCTGACTGGCTCCTTTGTGTTTGTTCTTCAAAGAGAATCTTTGGGAGAAATTTTCTAATTTCCTCAGGCCAAAGCATCTTCAAAAGCTATGGTTTCCCTGAATATTGAGAGTATTTTTGCCTTCACAAAGTTGTGATCTTGTACCTGAGCACTTTTTCTTCTTTACTTTGGCAGCTAGGTAGGTCCAAGCCAAATTTTCAGTCCACCTTTTAACAAATTCAAGGAATTAAGAAATTCATTTATGTATATGCCGTTACCTTCACTTGATTCTCACAGAAATTTATTTTATCCTTGTGTGTTTCTTGTATTTTGGTAAACATCTCAATGAATTTTTGTAATTAACTTGCAGCAAAAAAACCCCAAGCAAATAAGTTGATAAGCATATTAATTTATTAAATTACTTTTTAAAAATATATTTTTATTAATTTCAGAGAGGAAGAGAGAGGGAAAGATAGAAACATCAATGATGAGAGAGAATCACTGATGGGCATCGAGCCTGCAACCCAGGCATGTGCCCTGACCAGGAATCGAACCATGACCTTTTGGTTCGTAGGTTGACGCTCAACCACGGAGCCACACCGGCTGGGCTAAATTACTTTTTAATTTACTTTAATTAATGTGATTAGTTTAATAAATGTAACTTATTAAAATAACTGATTTGTTGGTTTCAAATAAAGAATAAATTTACAAATAAATTAATAAGTACATGAGCAAATATTTGGAGATGTGAGCATACTGGATCTTATATCTATAATAATAAAAGCATAATATGCTAAGTAGACCAGACATCCTTCCAGACTTCCTTCCAGACGACATTCTGGACAAAGCGAGGGCTATAAGGGAAGCCCGGGTCCCGGGTGCCAGAGGGAAGCCGGTATCAGCAGCCGGGGGAAGGAAAGCCTACCTCTTGCATGAATTTCATGCATCGGACCCCTAGTTGATGTATAAGTGTAAGCTAAAATTCCAGAGTGGATACACACACACACACACGCACACACACACACAAAGACAGTCGTGGGATAACGCAAGTCTGAGTTTGTAAGAGTCATTTATATCATATATGTAAGTGTTTGACAATAGGTATTTGGTTGGAATTCCAGTTGTCAACTAAACTTACATTAAGTAAGCAACAATTTAAACAGTTCCTTTTTTGTTGTTGTTTTTTTTTTTCAAAGTAACCTTTTTACATTGACATCCACACTGAAGACAAGTTGGAAATCTATTTGATTAAAAAAAAATTTACAAGTTTTTAAAACTTTTGACTGTCAAAAGGTTTTAATAAGGAAAATCTGCTCTTGTTTGGTTCTTTGTTTTGCTCCTTCCTGCAGCCTGTCCTGCCAATCACTACGGGAAGGACTGTGTCCAGCGGTGTTCCTGTGGCCCAGGACAGTGTGACCCAGTGACTGGAGAGTGCCACTGTTCACCTGGCCAAATGGGAGCCAAGTGTCAGCAAGGTAACAATGACTGCAGGGCCACCTTGTTTATCCAGGCACCAACTATGCTGAACTCTGAAGGCAGATTTGGTGCCAGGGACTATAATTAAGTAGGCATTGTCCACAACACTTTCTTCTTAAACATGGCTTTCATAAGATGAGCTACGAGCTCCTGTAAAGCTATATAGGAATTTCACCCTTCTGGAGGGTAAATAAAAATTGAAAACAAAAACAAGGAATAATTTTTGCCTACTCTACTAAGAAACTTTTTAAATCACTTAGCCAACTTTTGTAGAGCTGCCAAAACTTGTGCATTGGAGATGTCTAATTATAAGAACTGAAGAGTGTTATATCCTTTTCAACTTTCAGAAGTCCACTGAAAACTGCAAGAAAAATAAGAGACAGGAAGAAAAACATGATCTGTTTAAAACTGTGAAACTTCCTTGTCCTAAATCATATTACTGATAATAATAATAACAGAAGAACTGTCAAGTTCCGTGAAGTGTGGACACGTGGAGAGGATGATGGGTCCCTACAGCTCTTGTGTGGGTCCAGCAGGGCAGCCACTTCTCCGTGGCTCACATGAAAGGCAAAACTAAGGACCCCTTTTTGAATCAGGAGAATTGGTGCCTGGGCAGGCTGCAGGAGCTTCCTTGAATCTCCTGGACATCTTAGAGTGGCAGGATACACGGGGTAAAACCAAGAAGTGAGCAGACATATCATATTTACAACTCTACACTGAGATAGAGGGGACTATGTAGGTCATAGGGTGTTCTCCTCTGTGCCAAAGAGGTTTCCTACTCGCTGAAATCAGATTTCTAGCCCCAGATCCACACTACTCTCAAAAATAGCCAGGATATTAAAAAAAGTTGATTAAAAAAAACGAAGCTGATACATGTTTTAATAATTCTCTTCATTTTGGAAACAAAATATGTAACCATTCAGCATAGAACAAAAAGCTTGTTATGGAACACCTGAAAATATTAACCATAATTTCTTCCAAGAATTCAAAGGACATAATGAAAAAGTGTCCTCTATAAAATATGAGTCCAATGCAGAGATACAGGGTTCATGACATATATGAAAACACAACAAGAGAAAATGAAAGAATAAGCTAGCCAAGCTCAGAAAGAAGTGGATAAGAAAATTAAATCTCACATCTTATGACTAAAGGCCACATTGAATGCAGGTAATAAGAGGATGGAATCTGCCGATGGGACAGCCAGGTACATAGAGAATATGCTTGAAGAAAGTGCAAACAATGAAATGAAAATGAAAACAAATATATAAATGGAAAATAAAATTGATCAAATGTGATATTCAAGATATTTTATCTGAAATAAAAGAAGAGCTGGTGCTATAGATTGAATGAATACATTATATCATCGGAAATGCTAGTTAGGGCTGACCCATAGGCAGGGGAAACTCCATTGGGAAAATTAAAAATATGTATATGAGATCCCATATGAAGTGGGAGATCAGTCTGGCCTCATACCTCATAGCAATATTCATTCCAGCCTATGGTTAATCAATGCCTATGAAATTCTTGGGGGGAAATATGACTAGGGTATTTTATACACAGTGAAGCTGTTATTTCAGTATAACATGATGAAAAATAAAATAACTGTTTTAATAAACAACTAAATATATTTCTAGGAATGCAGTAGCTATAAAACATTTTAAAGAAGCTAATAGAAGATAAATTTGAGCCACCAAGTAATATATGTAAAATCTCTGGTAAACAGACTGTTAGGGAGCTTTAAATCTATTTTAATTGGTGATGAATTTAAAACAAATGTGGAAATTATACTCAAGTGATGAAGATAAACAGATAAATATTAGAAATTATAACAATGTTGAGATTTTAGCATAACTTTAACCAGCATAAGCTGGAAGGGGAAAGAAGGTGAAGGAGTATAAGTATACTAATGTTATTTCTGTATTAATGGTTGTGGGATCGAAATGATAGATCTGTGTCAAAACATAATATTTATATATGACAGCTCAATAAGTATGTTTAAGTGAGTAATGGTAAATGCTAGAATTGAGAATGCTAGAATTGAAAATATAAGAATAAAACTGTATCCAGCTACAATCAGAAGAGAAGAATGAGTAAAATTAGGAGAAAGCAGAATCATATTAATTCTATCAACATTCATACTGGAGGATCAATATGTACTTAATAAAGAAATGCATTATATTATATAATTTTATATGCACTGTCTAAAGAAGGTTCCCTAGATGATATAAAATTACAAGACTTTCATTTAGAGAAAGATGGATTATATACACTTTTTTCTATTTCTTCCTCCCCAAACAGTAAAAATTCTAGAAACTATGTAGAAAATAAACATAAGAAACTCTGAAATGTGGTGAGAAGGCAGACTCACTGAGAACAGTGGGGACTTAGTGAACAACATAATCGTGAGTTCCTTGGGCTTTCTTTCTTTGTCTCATATATCCTGGACTGGGTGCAGAAAAACATGAAATCCAGAAAAGCTAATCAGTGCAGATAAAATAAGGCCCGAGATAAGCCTGCTTTTTCTAGTCAAAAGACCAGGAAAGTCCAGCCAGGGTAGCTCAGTGGTTGAGCATCAACCTATAAACCAGGAGGTTATGGTTCAACTAGAGGTCTGGTGCACAAAAATTTGTGCACTCAGGGGGTCCCTCAGCCCAGCCTGTGCCCTCTTGCAGTCTGGGACCCCTCAGGGGATGATCACCTTCTGGCTTAGGCCCAATCCCCGGGCGATCGGGCCTAAGTTGGCAGTCAGACATCCCTCTGGCAACCCAGGAGCCCTCGTGGGATGTCCACTTGCCAGAGGGAAGCAGGCCTAAGCTGCAGTTGGACATCCTTAACACTGCTGAAGAGGTGGGAGAGGCTCCCACCATCACTGCTGTGCTGGCAGCCATCAGGCTGGCTTGTGGCTGAGCAGAGCTCCCCCTGTGGGAGCGCACTGACCACCAGGGAGCAGCTCCTGCATTGAGCATCTGCCCCCTGGTGGTCAGTGTGTGTCATAGTGACCAGTCATTCCCAGTCATTCTGCTGTCAGGGTCAATTTGCATATTACCTTTTTATTATATAGGATAGAGGCCTGGTTTGTGGGTGAGGACCGGCTTGTTTGCCTTGAAGGGTGTCCCGGATCAGGGTGGGAGTCCCTCTGGGTGCCTGGCCAGCCTGGGTGAGGGGCTGAGGGCCGTTTTCAGGTTGGCCACACCTCTTCAGGGAGGGGGGTCCTGCTGGGGTGCCTGGCCAGTCTGGGTGAGGGGTTGATGGCTTTTTGCAGGCTGGCCACAGCCCCTTCAGGATGGGGGTCGCTGCTGGGGTGCCTGGCCAGTCTACGTGAGGGGCTAATGGATATTTACAGGCTGGCCATAGCCCCTTCAGGGTGGAGGTCCCCCCTGGGGTGCCTGGCCAGCCCGGGTGAGGGGCTGATGGCCGTTTCCAGGTTGTCCACACCCCCTTCAGGGTGGAGGGGGTCCTGCTGGGGTGCCTGGCCAGTCTGGTTGAGGGGCTGATGGCTGTTTGCAGGCTGGCCACAGCTCCTTCAGGATGGGGGTTGCTGCTGGGGTGCCTGGCCAGTTTGGGTGAGGGGCTGATGGCTGTTTTCAGGCTGGCCACACCCCCTTCATGGTGGAGGGTTCCTGCTGGGGTGCCTGTCCAGTCTGGGTGAGGGGCTGATGGCTGTTTTCAGACTGGCCAAACTCCCCAGCAGGGACCCTCACCCCATGAGGGTGTAGCCATCCTGGGTGAGGGGCTGATGGCTGTTTGCAGGCTCACCATGGCCCCCAGCCACCCAAGCTCCCAGTGGAGGCTGGTTGGAAGCAGGTATCTGGGATTTATTTATCTTCTATAATTGAAACTTTGTTGCCTTGAGTGGAGGCCATGGCCGACCAGGGCAGGTGGGAAGCTTGGCTTCCTGCATCGCTGGGGCAACCAAGCCTCCTGCTTGCTCCAGCTCCTTGGCTGCAGGCTGCCTTCTTGGTTGGGTTAATTTGCATATAGTCGCTCTGATATGCTGGTGGGTATGGCTTGGGGCATAGCAGAGGTGTGATCAATTTGCATGTTTCTCTTTTATTAGATTAGATTCCCAGTCAGGGCACATGCCTAGGTTGCAGGCTCAACCCAGATTTCAGGAGGCAGCCAACCAATGGTCAATGATTCTCTTTCATCATTGATGTTTCTATTTCTCTCTCCCTTCCTCTCTGAAATAAATTATATATATATATGATTTGTTTTAAGACCAGGAAAAAGGCAGTCTACCAAGACAAAAATCTCTCAGTCTAACTCCAGTCAAACACTACAAAATAAAACTTCATCCTCAGCTTCAACCCAGGTCACCTGAAGAATCTATTCTTCAAATTCCACCTGGAGGTAATGAGCCAACCATCCCCTGCACCAGGATAGTGTGAAAAAAAGGCCCGTGGGGCTGGGACTTTCACCCTTGCCAGGTCAGAATGAGTACCCCACAACCTCTTGCAGTGTTAGTGCAAACCATATGGAGAGTATGAAAACTCCACCCCACCCCCAGTAGATGGTAAGGAGACACCACCCCTTTCTGCCAGGGTGACACTAGAAGAGATCTAGTGGATAGTCAGGACTTTCACTACCACCAATCAGCAATGAGATCACCTCACACAGTGTCAGTGAGGTCACGTGGAGAGCTGTAAGGAGGTACCTCTGCCCCTCAGTCAGGAAGGTGTCAGCAGAGGCCTGAACTCTTACCCTGGCCCAGCAGTAATGAGTCATGTTTAGTCCCCTCCACTGGGGACTTGGTGGGGAACATGGATTTCAACTTCTATCGGCTGAACCTCTTTCCTTAGTGTCATAGGAGACTTACTAAGTCAGGAGATTTAAATGAGATCCAGAGTCTCATATCATAATATTCAAAATGTCCAGATTTCATTTAAAAATTATTCATCAAACCAACAACCAGGAACATTTCAAATTGGTAGAGGATATACAACTGAAAGCAACAAATGAACAAACAAGACAAACAAACAAAGACTTATGGACAAAGACAACAGTATGTTGGTTACCAAAGGGAAAAAGGTTGCAAGGGGCAGAGGAATAGTAAAGGAGGGACAAATATATGGTGAAGAAGGATTTTGGGTGGTGAACACACAATGCAATATACAGATGAATATTAGAGAATTATACCCTTAACCCCATGTAATTTTATTAACCAATGTAACTCCAATAAATTTAATTAAAAAATAATTAATAGATATGAACACTGAGATGACACTGGTGATAAAATTATCTCAATTTTTAAAGGAGCCATTATAAAAATGCTTTAGTGAGCAATTACAAAACTGCTTGAAACACATAAAAGAAAAAATAGAAACAATATCCACCTTATCTTAAAAGCACAAAATGAGACATAAAGAAGAATCAAATGGAAATTCTAGAACTGGCACATATAATAACCAAAAACAAAACAAAACACAGACAGACACACACACACACACACACACACACACACACACACACACACACAAGCTCAATGGATGGCCTTAATAGCAGAATGTGGAGGACAGAGGAACACATCAGTGACCTCAAAGATAAAACAATATAAATTACCAAATCTAAACACAAAAAAGGGAAAACAACCAAAATAAAAATAAAAAACAGAGCCTTGGGACCTGTGGAAGCACTAAAAAAAGGTCTAACATTTATAAATCAGAATCTCAGAGTAGAAACCAAAGAGGGCAGAACCGAAAGAGTCTTCAAAGAAATAATAGCTAAAAATGTCCTTATGAACCAAAATATAAACCTAAAAATTCAAGAAGCTGTATTAATGCCAAACAAGATAAATGGAAAGAAATCTACAAAAGATGTATCAACATCAAATTTCTGAATACCAACAAAGAAAAAAATCTTGAAAGCAGCAAAAGAGAAATGACATCCACCTTATCTTAGAATAAAAGACTTCAAAATAAAATGAAAGTACATAAATGATACAGATACACCGAACACATGTGAACAGATGAAAAGCAGTAGTCATGACATCAGTATTAAACAATGTAAATTTTATGGCAACAAGCATCTAATGAGAAGGGCACTTATAATAGAGGGTAAAATTCACGCTGAAAATTTAAGTGTAATCAATATGTATAAAATAAATAACACAGTATTGAAATTAATAAAGCAAAAGCCATATGCTAGTAGGAGAAATAGACTGCAAGAGCTCATTAGTAGACTATTTGTTAGCCCATACACATATTACTGTATACACATATGCATGAAAATAATCTTGTCGATACTTGCACTAATAAACTATGTCTAATTGCTATAAACTGAACTGCACCCTGAAAAATTGTAAAAGAAAATCAGGCAAGTCTAAAAAATATAATTCATGACATTTGATGATCACAAAGCAATAAAACAGGAACAATAACAAAACTAAATACCTACTGGGGTAGGGTTGTGGGGAGGGGGAATTCCATTACAGTATACTGCATTGGCATTTTGAAATCTCCTTCAATAATCAATGGCTAAAAAGGGCAAACAAAACCAACATTTTAGAAATTTAAAACATTAATAATAATATTCACAACCTATAGCTAATTCAGTTAAATGGAGGAAAATTTATTTTCCAAAATACTTATGTTAGTAAATAAGAAATGATGCCAAGACCGGTTTGGCTCAGTGGATAGAGTGTCGGCCTGTGGACTGAAAGGTCCCAGGTTCGATTCTGGTCAAGGGCATGTACCTTGGTTGTGGGCACATCCCCAGTGGGAGGTGTGCAGGAGGCAGCTGGTCGATGTTTCTCTCTCATCGATGTTTCTGACTCTCTATCTCTCTCCCTTCCTCTCTGTAAAAAATCAATAAAAAAAAAAATATATATATATAAAAGAAATGATGAAAATAAGTAAAAAAAATAAAGAACAATAAAATATACTTAAAGTGATCCCTACATTAATTTATTCACCAAAATTACTTCCAGGTACTTACAATAATTACAAAACTATGACAGTAATAGAATTACCATTATGATTTTCTCAAATTTATTTTGAGGCCAGATATAAATTGTGACAAAAACACAAAACCACAGGAGGAAAAAGAAAAAAGATAAACAAAGAAGAAAGACTAACAAAGCACTAAGTTTCTTAATCAACAAAGAATTCTTATATATCAAGAAAAGAACCCATGACAGCCAGTAGATCTTATGAAAAGTTGATAAGCATCATTCATAATGTGAGAAATCCAAATTAAAGTTGCAATTATATGTCACTTCACCTATCAGATTTTCATAATATACCAATTTGAAGATTGAAACATGGGCACATTGATAATTCTTAATAAATTTGCAAATCTCTTTGTAAGGAAATTTGATAATATCTGTTATGATTTAGAAGGACATATCACTTTACTGAGAAAATCATCTGGGATTTACCCTTCAGGTATAATATTACATATGAATAAAGACTTCCATGAGGATATCCATTACAGTTGTTTATAATAATAAAATATTTTAAACAATCTACTTGCCATCAATACTCGACTGGTAAAATAAATATTTCTTAGATGCAATAAATCCTATGCAGCTGTTAAAAATGAATGAAGATTTATGCAGATCTGTTATATGTACAAATTTGGAAACACCTTGGAAACTTTTATTTACAGAAGAAAGCTAATTTTACAATATTACTTATCTGTGTTAACATTTTGGATAAAAAAAAAGATTAAAGGGTAAGAGAGATATACATATGTATGCCTTATTAGACATGGAATATTTCTGGATATATTCAGTTATTTACCTACTCAATTCAATAACTATTTATTGAATGCCACTGCCTGTTTTAAGCTCACAGAATATATGGATAAAATCTTGATACCCCGGTTCTCATGCAACTTGTTTTCTTGTGGAGAAGAGACAATAAAAAATAAACATGTTTAATAAGTTATGTCTGTGCATGACAAAAGGAAATAAAATCTATAGTAAAATAAAAATAGAGCATGGCCAGGGGCTTGAGAATCTAGATGGGTTGGAATGGTTAATTGAGTAGTCAGGATGACGCCTATACTACTGAAAAGACCATGATGTTTTTGAGAAGGGAACCTGGAAGACAGGAGCACAGGGATGAAATGCTTTTTCTCAGACTACTAACCTTTATATAATGTTTGAAATATTCATTGGGTAATAACATGAACTTTAAAAAAAAAGCAATGAAGTTATATAAACAATTCTATGCAGACATTTTTCTAACACTTAGACTTGTGGAAAGTATCATTTCTCAGTCCTCCTCACTTTCCAATTATGCTTTTGTCTTAAGCGTTATCATAAAGTCTTATATTTTTACAGATTCGCCAGTATCATCAATGCCTTTCAATGGTCAGGTTGGAAGATGAATGGGCCTCCTGGCTGATGAGGTTGCTTTAAATGGATGAAAGAGAAACCAATGAAAGTTTATTTTAGTAGTATACTGGTAGGACTTGGTGTCATCGATTCTACTTCATTTGCCTTAAAGGCAAAACTAAAAAAGAATAAATGGCAATTAATTTAAAGAAACTCATTATACATGTGATGATAACCTAACAATTTGTTGTACAACTAAAATTGTTATTTAAATAAACAAAACGAAAACTCTTTCATTTGGTACTAAAATGAAGTGCACCTGTTCAGTCCAATAAAAGCATACAGATCGAATCCAAGTACATGCTCTGTTACGTATTAACCAAATGCTTTCAGGCGAGTAAAAAAACCAAAACTCTCTAATGTTTCTCCTGCTACCTGGAGTACAAAGAATGCTTGATGAGAAGTCAGAAGTTCTAGACTTGAATCTTGGTTTTCATCTCTTCTGGCTGCTTAAGCCTGAGCGAAACCTAAGTCTCTGAGCATCAGTTTTCTCAAGTATAAAATAGGAATAATGTACCCACATCAGAGGGATATTATATTTGTGAGCATTAAATGAGATAATTCATGTGGAAAATATCATTATATAAAAATACTATAAACTGGAAGGTATAAATGGCAGGTCCTTGGCCAAATCTAGCCACAAATGTGTTTGAATTGGCTGACAGTTCTGGATCCCACAGTGCTGTAAAGCAATTTTAATTAGTTGCCAATGTTCAAAGATTGGATGAATTTATGTAAAATATGGATTTTAAGTTTTCCTAAAAAATTATATTAGCTGGCTCTATCGGGCCCATATTCTGTTGGCAAAAAAACAACTAAATGTGAGTGGTGGTTAATCTCGCCTTAGGGAGCCTTTGTGCTCCCAATTGGTGTCACTTTCCTTCATTCATCATTCAATTATTTTCCCCATGACAGTGAAGACTCAATTTTCCTTATGCCTGGCCAGCCTCACTCTCCCCTGTCTTAACTCCTACTGGCCACATATTTTTGTTCTGTCACCCACCATTGTATGCTGCAGTGCTTTTCCTATTCCAGCACCAAAACATTAAACAAACTGCTCATCTGTCTTCTTTATCAGTTATGAGACAAAATATATAAAAGGCTTCCATTGCTAATCTGGGATTGACCTCTGCTTGTTCTCTAGGGGATCTCCAGTTCCCAGCCACATCATTATGAGCTCAATAAATATTTATGGAGTGAATAAAAACGTGAATGAATGACAGTGATGTGCCTTCTACCTTAAAGATACATCTGAGTTTATGTTTTCATTTGAACATTTTCTTATGCTTTTGCTACTTAGATATGATTACTCTATCTGAAGCAGAGAAAAATGTTTGCTCATATGACATTTTTATTCAGTTTGATTTTTGTGTTTATTTTTTACTACAGGATGTCCCCAGACAAGGTATGGCCCAAATTGTGAGCTAATATGTACCTGTAAAAATGGTGGCCTTTGCAATCCTGTGGATGGAAGCTGTACCTGTGGCCTTGGATGGACAGGAAATTATTGTGAAAAAAGTAAGTTGATTGCCGCCTTCTTTCATTCAATAAAAATCTAGAAGCTACTGCCACTGATTGATAAAATATAGGACAGGCCCCCAAAGAGACAATTTCCCAAGAAGTTCACCTAAGCCACTTGTAATTATGATTGCATTTCCAATAAAAATAGTGTTCTATTAATATTGATGGATTTTTGTTACCTTGTTAACAGAATATCCCCTGAAAACTCTTAAAACCCTTAAGACAGTGGTTCTCAACCTTCCTACTTCCACGACCCTTTAATACAGTTCTTCATGTTGTGGTGACCCCCAACCATAAAATTATTTTCGTTGCTACTTCATAACTGTAATTTTGCTACTGTTATGAATCGTAATGTAAATATCTGATATGCAGGATGTATTTTCATTGTTACAAACTGAACATAATTAAAGCATGGTGATTAATTACAAAAACAATATGTAATTATATATGTGTTTTCCGATGGTCTTAGGTGACCCCTGTGAAAGGGTCGTTCGACCCCCAAAGGGGTCGCAACCCACAGGTTGAGAAACGCTGCCTTAAGTAATTGGAATAGTAGTAATATAAAAGAACTCCTCTAAGACCTAAATCTATTCCCCCTCCAAACAGTTTTAGCATGAAGGCCTTGTGGCCAGCAAATCTGCTGAACCCTGAGTTTCTTGGCATGAGGTTAAAGGACCTCAACCACCACTGAAAATGTATCCATTGAACATTCACAAAAATTGAAAAAGAAAATCAAGCAATTCTAAAAAATATAATTCATGACATTCGATGATCACAAAGCAATAAAACAGGAACTAATAACAAAACTAATTATCTTGCTGGGATGAAGCCTTGAGGCAGGCAGGCTGGAGGATGCGGGGCCCTGGGCAGAGCCAGGGGTGAAGGAGAGGACTCTGGGCACAGAGGACTCCAAACTTTATTTCATCAGGAAAATATCATCATCTACCACTGTAAATATATTTTTTACACATAAGTGACATTTATGTGCTTCTCAGCTAATATATTATGCATACCATAAAACATATATAAAGGTTTAAATTGCTAAAGAATGGATAAAGATAAAGATTGATAGTTCTAATTCTTCTTTCCAAACTGCAGTTGATTATTTTGTGCAATACTGGAGAGCATATACCCTACTCAAGAGCTCACTTTTGTAGGAGATGGTTTTGTGTTCTGGCAGCATAGACAGAAAGGTCTCTGGCAGGGAGACAGAGTGTGGGTGAGAACACTGCTGGGGGCCTACACTTGGGGCACCTTGAGTAAAAAAAAAATTGACAGTAAACTTGTACCTAGTTGTTTTCAACTATGGGGTCATGGCTTTTTAGACCTGCGTCCTGACATACTATCCCAATGAGTGTGATACCCACTATCCCTCACTATGAATTTGACTATCATGAAATTCGGCATCATGGCACACAAGAAAGCACCTTGCAATAGGAGCGGACAGACTCATATGCCAACTCTGCTCGGCCCATACCATGCTCTATGCCTTTGGGAAGTTCACAGTATCTCTGTGATTTGGTTTTCTCACATGAATATGAAGACAATGACACTTTGAAGTAACAGTGCTTCTAAACCTAGTAATTAAGGTCAGTTTCTTGGATTTTTTTTATGTGGATATCCTCCCTCATTTATGGAGACAACTGTTACCAATTTTGTGATATTGGAGATTGCTAAATCAGATTAATAGCAGTTCTTTAAAATTAGACAGCAGCTTTATGTCCATATTGTTTTGTTGTGCTTTTTTTTAAATTTTAAGTTGGGAAACTCTTCAGCATTTAGGGAAATAAGATATTTTAACGTTTGATCCTATCATTTAAACATTTGTTATTTATGAAATTATTTTAATTAAATTCAACTATTATTAAAATTTATTCTATTAAACTTATCCTATTTTGTCATTAAAACTTTTTAAACTGTTGTTTTTATCACTTAAATTTATATATTATTTATTTATTTTATCTCAAATATAATACACGAGTTGATGAGCCACTGGGTAAATGCAAATGTAATTTTGCAACATATTGACAAATTCTCTGTGAGAGTTTATACCATTTTGCATCCTCATAACCAAGATATAGAATATCTCTTGCATCAGAGCTTTATCAAAAGAGTATGTTACCAAAATTTTGGTAAAAAATGTTCTATCAGTGGATATGTAATTTTCATTTTTAGTATTATGAATAAAGTTAAGCATCTTTTGCAACTGGTAAGCATCTCTTGCATTTATTTTTTCTATAAATTGTTCATAATTCAAGCTCACTTTTCTATAAGGTTCTGTTTTTTTCTACTGTAATACTAGAAGTTCTATAGATATTAGAAATATTAACTCTTTGTTGTGAATTATTCACCCATATTTGGGTAAGTTTATGTTTTGTCTTTTGCCACCTGATTGGTCATTAACTGACATATAACAAACCACCCCGAAACTTAGAAACTGGAACAGCCATGAATCATTATCTCTCATGATTCTGAGGGTTAACTGCATTCAGCTGAGTGGTCCTTCTCTCAGATAGCAGCTGGGGCTGAAGCCGGGCTGGAATATAGAAGATCACCTCTTTATTTCCACATCTGCCAACCAGGCTTTGCTCCCCATGGCATGGCTTCTTTCTCCTTGTCTTAGCCAGCTCGGGCTGATAGAACAAAATATCATAAAGTAGGAGACTTAAACAACAGAAATTTATTTTCACAGTTCTGGAGTCTGGGAAGTCCAAGATTAAGGTACAGGCAGATTTAGTGCCTGGTGAAGGCCCTCTTTTCTGATTTGCTGATGGCCTTGTTTTTGTTTTATTCTTACATGGGAGGGGGGGAGGGAGAAAGAGATAGAGAGAGATAGAGATACATAGAGAGAGAGAGCACACTCATGTTTCTTCTTATAAAGACACTTGTCCCATCATGAGGGTTCCACCAGAATAATTCTCCAACAGAATGATTTGCTTTCTTACATGACAGCTGACTTTCTAAAGCAAGTCCTGGGACCAGTCCAGGCTCCACATAGGAGGGAACAGCACAAGGCTGTGAATCCGAGGGGACGTGCTTCATTGGGAATATCTTTAGAGAATGGGTTCTTCATGATTCAAAGGGATTGTTTTGTTTGGTTTATTTTTGTAATAAAATATATCTTTCTTCCCTTTATATTTTTATTTTCATTTTTTTAAATATATTTTATTGATTTTTTACAGAGAGGAAGGGAGAGGGATAGAGAGTTAGAAACATCATTGAGAGAGAAACATCGATCAGCTGCCTCCTGCACACCCCCTACTGGGGATGTTCCCGCAACCAAGGTACATGCCCTTGACTGGAATCGAACCTGGGACCCTTGAGTCGGCAGGCTGACTCTCTATCCACTGAGCCAAACCGGTTAGGGCCCCTTTATTTTTTTTAAATTTAGAGTCACACTTAGGAATGTATTCCCTATTCTCAGGTAGTAGAGGAATTCACTCATATTTTCTTTTACTTACCAGTACGATGTCATTTTTTGACATTTGATTCTCTGATCAATTTTAAATATTTTTCTTGGTGAATTGTGTGAGAAACAAATCCATTTTCCCCTTACATGGCTTTTCATTTATTGTAATGCAACTTTTACAAGTGAAACTTCCTCACTAACTCCAGATTTATCCTTCATCAAACACTAAGCATTTATACATAGTTTGGGATAGTTCTGGATGCTCTGTTCTATTGGTCTACTTAGATGCAAATGCAGTACCATTTTTATTATGAAGCCTTTATTAAACATATTTGATACTGATAGAGCTAGCCACCCTTCATGCTTTATTTTTCAAGGATTTTCTGGCACCATTCCTGTTTGTCTTTCCATGTGAACTTTATAATAAAATTGTCCAGGTGCAAAAAAACAAAAACAACAGGTATTTTTTACTGTTTGTTATCCTCTGTCTATTCTCTCTGGGAGAACGAACACATTTATGATATTAACTCATCATATCTGAGAATAGACATGGTCTATCATTCCATTTGTACAAGCTTTTTGCTCCCTATTAAGTAAAATACTGGATAATAATATTCATTTGAGATATAGCTATTAATTTTCTAATTTACTCAATATTTTTACTGAATATTTTAGTGAATTTATTTTTCAAATGTCTTTTCTACATCTATGGAATTAATAATATAACTTTTCTCTTTGGCTGATAATTATGGTGGATTTACTAATGAATTTTCTAATATTAAATGACCTTACCTCCTAGGAATAAATACAACTTGGACATGATATATTGCTTTATAGCCTGCTATTGGTTTCTATGTACTTATATTTTTATGAATTTGGCATCAATATTCATAAGTGAAATTGAGCTCTTTAATGTATTTTTGTCAGGTTTTGGAATTGATGCTATACTCAGTAAAATGTATTTGAAAGCTTCCTTCTTTTCAGTGTCCTAGACTAGTGTAAATAGTAAGGTGAGGATCTGATCTGTGAAGGTTTATAGAAGGTTCTTTTTCCTGTGAAACCTAGGTCTTATGGGATTTTTTTAAAATTCAGTAGCTATTTTGCTATTTTCTTTAATGTTGTTCTATTCTAATTAGCCTAGGTTTTCTGCCTCAAAGTAAGATAATTTTGATAAGTTGTCCTCTGTAACTTTTCCATTTCATTCAGGTTTTTATATTTATTTATACTGTACTTTTTATAACTATTCCTTTTGATGATCATTCCATAATTTTAAAAAGGTGTGTATATTTGTGCTTTCTGTCTTTTATCTTTATTGGATTAGCTAATGATTCATCTGCTTTTAATATTTTTTGTCTTCAAACTCATTAGTATTCAATTGTCTTAACTAGAACTAATGCTTGGATGGTTCCTTTTTCAGAATGTTCCCCTGGGTATTATGGCCCAGGCTGCCATTTTACTTGCACCTGTCAGAACAGTGGAGTTTGCAGCAGGTTTTCTGGAAGCTGTGAGTGCCTCCAAGGTTACTATGGGAGAGACTGTGAACATGGTAAGCGGAGAAAATGAGTGGGCTTGTTATGGTGTCGATAAGTTTTAAGTTTTAAAAACTATTTATAAAATAAAAGTAATATATTTGCATTATATCAAATTAGATAAAATGTTAATGATTTAGTGTATATTTTTACAATGTATTTTATAGCTCAACTTTAAGGTCTAGATGTTGACAACTGATATAATTAAATAATTGGACTTCTGTATTCCTTTCTGGAACTACTGTTCAAAAATGATTCTAATGTTCTATAATCATCTGTAATAGAAACAGGCAGACACACTCAAAGGCGTCAGCTGATTGCTGGTCCTTTTGAACATAATATTCTACTTTCTACACAAAATATAAAGAAGCTGCTTGTTTCATATTGATCTAGTTCTAGACCTAACTCTAAAAGAATCTTCTTCAGGTTTTCTTTAAGCATATTTATTTATATCAATTCTTCATTTAGACTCAATATTTTCACCTAAAATTAGGAAAAGAGTTGTACAATAATTAAGAATTATACAAGAATTTGTCTTATATGTCAGGGAGCCTTAATGGGAACACAAGAGATTAAGATGTTAAAGTCTAGGCTCTAGAGTTCATTGCACATGGCCTAGCTCTGCCTTATAAAAGAGGTATAAACTATTAACTTCAAAGTTTAAGCTTCGTAGTGTAGAACGGGGATAACAATAACGCCCACTATAAAAGGTATGATGAGGAGTAAATAAGAAGATACATGTAAGCATTTGTACTAAGGCATGTGGCAAAAGCTTGACCAATATTAATCATTTAAAAGTAAAGGGCTTTGTAAAGCCTCTGAAGTGATAATAGCAATGTTTGAAATTGTTTCCATGTTTTTCAACTTGTTTTTAGTATTTGGCCAATACATTTTACAGGAACAAATTTTACTAAGCCTCCCAAGGTTTAGAACTCTTGCCAACCATTCTGAGGTTTCCTGGGTTAGGGAGTGTGGAAGCAAACACCTTGTGGTTTTGTTTGTTTGCTTTGTTTTCAAAATTGGAATAGGAGATACAAGAGAGAGAAAAAATATTTATTGAAGGCCCATAAATTTCATACTACATACATCCTACATTCTACAGATCCTACATATGATTAGTATCAAGAAAGATTTTGAGCAGACAAGAGATACTATTCTAGTGAAATAAATCTGTAAAGGGAGAACATTATTGATTATTAAGAAAAGGAGCCATCAGCAGTGTCCACATGGAGAGCTGTAGTGATAGGCTAGGACTTTAAAATCTGGACTAGGATAGAAAAGCAGATGAACCCTGACCAGTGTGGCTCAGTTGATTGAACATCATCCCATGCACAGGTAAGTTGTTGGTTTGATATTGATTCCTGGTCAGGTCACATGCCCGGGTTTACTGGATCCTTGATGGGGGACATGCAGGAGGTGGCCAATCTATATTTCTTAATCCTTCAATTATTCTCTCTCTCTCTCTCTCTCTCTCTCTCTCTCTCTCTCTCTCTCTTTCTCTCTCTCCCTTCTTCTCTCTCTAAAAATCAATAGAAAAATATTTTTTTAAAAAAGGAAATGAACAAAATATTTTCAAAGAAAAATTGACTGTATTGGGCAATTAATTTGGATATGAAGATGAGGAAAACGAAGGCACCAACAATGGCTTTAAAGTTCCAAGTCAGGGAACCTTAGAGCAAACATAAACCCAAATAAAAACCATAGAATAATCACCTAAACTTCTGACTGGACATTAAAGTGATAGGAATGCACTCTGTAGCCAATATAGTGCATTATTCTGATTTTGTTGCTGATTGTTCAAAAATTTTTGAAATTGTTTACTATCTCAAAACACCACAAGAGATGTTAGTCTTCAATAGACAAAGATCTCCTATTTAGAGAAATAGAAAAGTTGAGCAAGGCAACCTTTATAAACTCAGCTTTTTTAACATAATGAAAATAAAGGGGAGAAAGAGAGATCTGATTTTTCTCTGTATTCTCAATATTAATTATACAAGAACAAATAGAAAAAACCCTGCATTGATCTTTTTTGTTACTCTTTAAAAAATGTATTTTATTTATTTCAGAGAGGAAGGGAGAGGGAGAGAAAGATAAATATACCAATGATGAGAGAAAATCACTGATTGGCTGCCTCCTGCAGGCCCCACACTGGGAATTGAGCCCACAACCTGGGCATGTTCCCTGATCAGGCATCAAACCATGACCTCCTGGTTCATAGGTTGACGCTCAAGCACTGAGCCATGCAGGCCCAGCTGTTATTCATTTTTTAAAGAGTTATAAGATCAAAAAATGAAAGAGTATGTATTATATAAATTAGTTCAATTCTTATCTCCTTTTGGTTTTACCTCCCTTTTCTGCCCCCTGAATGTGAGATTTTCCTAATGTTGAATCTGTCCTGAGTAACTCCATTCATGCTGGAGAAGTGTCACGCACAAGAAGCCTAGGCAAATTTAACTCTAGGAAAGGAGGCTGGGCTCACAAAGAAAGAGGGAGAAAGGGGGGGGGGGAGAGACGGGGAGAGAGAGAGAGAGAGAATAATTGAAGGAAGGACTGAGAAAATTTTATCCCCCTCCCATTCCCAGTGAGTGGTGAGCATAGCCTTAGAGAAAACTCAAGAAAAGAAATGGGAATATTTGTCTCATTCAAGCTTAGCTCTCACACATCTCTATTTGAGTGATTATATCTATGGACAGATGACAATCTTAGCATTCAAAGAAAAGCATTTGCTGGGATTACATGTTCTCTAAAGGTAAACTAATTAGTTATTTTGTTGTTCAGCCACAAAAATATGGAAGAAAAACTAGTTATACTGTGCTTACTAAAGAAATAATTCCACTTTATGGACCATCTATGGAAATATTTTAAAAGTTAAATTTCACTGATTTTGAAATCTAACTTCCTCATATGATGTCAACCTACTGTATATACATCATATTCTCTTTTATTCCCTTTTTTCCTTTCTCCCTCCCCTCTTTCCCTCATACTCACCTCTATTATCTATTCCCAAAACTTCAAATATCAAGAGCTATATAAATCACCATCCACAGATACTCTCTTGTTTATTTAAATAACTTAACTCAAAAACCATCGTTACTAAATGTAACCTGTATCTAACTTTTTAAAACATTGTTCTTTTAAGTGTTTAGGGTATTCAAGTGTTTTGAAGTCTTTGTCAGGCACATCATAGAAAATAAATTGTACTTACTTGAAGATATTTGAATTTTTTATGGATTCTTCTAGACTACTTGTAGAAAAATGGATCAATGCACTCATTTATTTGTATGACTAAACTATGGTCAATATGCTTTTCCACATAATTCTTTCTTGTTTCTAATTTTACGCTTTCATCTCCTTCTTTGGTCCTGGGAAACAAGTGACCTACAGCGTATCCTTTAATTTTCCCTGCATTTATTCTTAAAGCCAAAATATCATTTTGACATTTTTATTTTCCAGCATGCCTTCCTGGATTTTATGGTTTGAATTGTGCTCAGATCTGTGACTGCAGAAATGGAGCCAGTTGTGATGCAACGAGTGGACAGTGCATTTGCCCAGCAGGTTTCCATGGCAGCCAGTGTGAAAAAGGTATAGCCAGAGCATTTTAAAGCAGGTGAATAGGGGAATTCTGTGTGAATGTGAGGTCTTTCTATCTTAGGGCAAACATAAACCCAAATCAGAAACATGGAATAATCACTTAAGCTTCTGACTTGGACATTAAAGCAACAGGAATTCACTCTACAGGCAATGTGTCCTTCTGATTTTGTTGCTGATTATTCAAAAATTTTACCTTCCCCTAAGTGAAATTGCTTAATATTCCAAACCCCATTAAAGCTGTTATTCTTCAACGGACAAAGATTCTACCTCTGAATGAGAAATATTTTATTAAAAGATTTTAAAAGATTATCTATTGAGTTTAAAGATATTAAAATAGATACAAAGCTTTATGAAAAATATTTAAAGATGGGAATTAGGCATTTATTACTAGAAAATAATGGCAGTCATGAATGTGGATGAGGAAATAGAGGTGAGAACTTGGGCTACTAGTTTAAAATAGTAAATTATAAAGTCCTACAAGACTAATCAGTCTATTCAAAATAATGCCAGAGTACATAATTCTCAGTAAGCAACTCAAAATATCATTTTAGTCTATATTATGTATGACTTGTGCATAGGGTTATAATAATCATTATAATTATAATAATATAATGATAGTGGTCACTTGACTTTATGTGAATCAGAGTTATTGCCTTTAAAAAGGATTCATGTGGGTGGATGGGATGAGATCAACCAAAGAGCTTGTTTGCATAATTGCATAACCTATGGACATAGACAATAGGGTGGTGGAAGCCTGGGTCAAGGGTTATGGGCTATAAGGGGGTCAATGGGAGAAAAAAAGGGACGTATATAATACTTTCAATAGTAAAGGTTTTTTAAAAAGAAAGAAACAAGGTTACAAAAAATAAAAATAAATAAAAAGGATTCATATGCTACTCCCATACTATATCCTCATAAGTCACTAGAGCTATACATACAGTATTTCTTGTCATCCTTTATTCACTTATCCACTTATTATTTACTGTTATATTCTGGGAATATAGTGGAGCTTACAGTCTTCTGGGAAAATAAATAACATTTAAGGAAAAATATTAAAAGTAATACTCTTGGCTAGTAGACTCAATTTTCTTCTTAAAGTTCCTATCTTTGAAAGCCCTCCATACATTCTCAAAGGTACAAACCAGTGTCAGAGTAAATCAATTTAAAACCTGAGTGTGAAATCATGTATAAAATGAAGCTGATTTCTTAGAATTCCAAAACTTTCCTCTCTTCTTCTAACCAACAAATCTCATTTTATCCTCCCACTTTGCTACTTGGGGCTCAATCTTGAGGAAATTCTATCTTTAATCCCATGTTAGCTGCATCATTGAAAATTCAAGTGGTTAATGTTTCAGCATTTCTCTTTCCTTGGTAGAGTGCTCACCTGGAATGTTTGGAGATAATTGCCAGCAACTTTGTGACTGTGAAAGCAAAATCTCCTGCCACCCAGTAACTGGAAAGTGCCTCTGCCCACCTGGAAGAGCCGGAGCCAGATGTGAAGCTGGTATGAGCCAAGTACCTGGTGATGTCCCTCTGACTCATGGGTGATTCAGAGACATCTGGGCATTTTTTTATACTAAAAGTATTGTGCAATTAAAGAACATCGTACTACCATTGCTTGTCACCTTGCCTTAGTATGATTAATCAGAGTATGTGGCTGTTGCATAACAGGCAACCAAAACCAGCACTATGGCTGACAGAGGACACGTTGAAGGCACCTCAAGGTGATGCAATTAAACATCCTGATTACAAAAGCAATTCAGAAAAATGAAGATTGGGGTACTATTCTTGAGAACCAAGTTCCCCGTATTCTTGGGAATTGAGATTTAAACCTTTTCCCCCCTTTACACTCACAAGAAGAAAGGCCTAGGATGTAAAATTCAAAATCTTTAGCGACTATCTTAAGAAGAGGAGAAAGTAGACTGAGTGGATCATTGACTCATCACTTACTATTTAAACTTAATGGATGCTTCCTAGATGAAAAGGTTTCATATGTTTCACAATAACCCCGAAGGACTGATCATCCTAAACATTTTGCTTGTATTCATTTGCTCTTTACCACCACCCAATGAGGCTGTTCTGTTTTTATTTTTACTTGACAAAAGAGAGAGCTGAGGCACAGAAAAGTAGGAAGAGTCAGAACCAAGATTTAACCCCAGGCAGTCTGGTTTTGACCGTTGGGTGATGATGCTCTTAGTAGACAATACTATATGTGTGCATGTCTGCATGTAGCCCTGTATAAGGAACCTTCAGGGGCTCATCAAGAGATTTATATTCTTCCCTATCCCATCTTCCCTTTTTCATAGACCTTTAAAATAAGTCCAGTGGGTTATGAATATCAGATTGGAATCCTTTGGGATCTTCCAACTGAGAAGCTTACTGATGCTGACATTTCTTTTTTGCAAAGCTGCTTCATGTAGAGCTCTAATCATTGTGTTTCACTACACTACAAGCTTCTTGAGAGTTCGATCCATGTTTATTTATCTTTTATCAAGAAAGGCTCAGAAAAGGGTGTAGCACATGACAGTTTTCAGCAAATTTTTGTTTCTTTTCAGCATTCCTCAGGGAGTCATGGTAAACACGTTCCTGAACCTTGTCATATCTAAACTAAATCTGTCAGAGTAAACATCAGCATGACATCTTGGCAAAGCCACAGTATACATGTCACCAATGAAATGCTCACTGAAGGCAGAATGCTTATAGTATTTGTGGTTTCATCCAAATACTGAAGAAAATCATTCATGTTTATTGAATGTGTATCATATGCCAGGCATTTTAATGTATACTAGGTGCCTTTACTATCATCACCCTTCCCTTTCATAGATGGGGGAGCTGCAGCACAAAATGGGGAAGTTACTTGCCCAAAGTTACACAGCTCACAAATGGCAGACTGGGGATTTGAAACAGACAATTTGGGTCCAGAGCCAGACTGAACATCCCCACTATACCGCTTCTCAAGGGAAAGAAAGGAACAGGAATTGATTTTGTTGTCTAATATGCATTGTCCATTAACCACAGGTTGCTATTTAATTTATATGTAGTTTAATTTAAAATTCACCTCCTCAGTCACATTTCAGGTGTTCAGTGGCCACATATATGGTTAGTTGCCACAGTATTGGATAGCACAGTATAGAATGTTTTCGTCATTGCTGAAAGTTCCGTTTGACAACACTCAGCGGTGACTTAAAACTAGCTTCTTCTAAACCAAGAGAGCTTATGGCCAGGCTGGAAATGAAGGCCTCACTCTATGGACTTTCTATGGACTAAATTCTTTTATCACACAGTCATTTTTATCTGCAGAAAAATTACCATTTGACAGTGGAACATATGTATTAACATGCCCATTCTCAGTGGGCACCTCAAGGCCTCTCTTGTCATGAGCTCTTTGGGGGTACCCACAGCTTACACAGATGTACTACATGATCTTTTATTTGCAGTTTTATTTTCAATTAGGCACAGTTCATCTGCGATATTAACTGTGAGCAGCTGTGTCTATGCAGGCACTATAAAGATAAAAGACCTCATTTTAATTTGAACTCTGGTAAAGGACCTATTAAACAGCCATAATGTTAATTCATAAAAGAATGTAGCAGCTTTTTATTGGATTATTTCCCCACCCCCTTGGTAAATTAACATTTGCAGACATTCAAACAGATGTCTTAAATACACATCGTTATTAACATAAAATGTGGTATTTTTATAAATTAAAATCAGATTCTGAACTGCTTAGGAGAGATCCTGACTCATAACTCTTTTTCAAACAAGAAAACTAGATCTTACCACCAAGCTAAGTAATCCTCCTACACACCGGATGGGGGTGGATCTATTAGGTTAGGATTTATTTGTTTGTTTATTTATTTATTTTTAATACTTATTTATTAAATTGGAGTGACATTGGTCAAAATGAACATATACATTTCAGGTGTGGATTTCTATGTGATAAGATCTGTACATTGCACCGTGTGCCCACCACCCAAAGTCAAATCTTCTCCTGTAACCTTATATTGGGACCCCTTTTCCCGCCACCCCCTTCCCTCTAGCAATCACCACTGCTGGTTGTGTTCCCAAATATCAGTTCTGTATCATATATATGAGTGAAATCATATAGTTCTTAGCTTTTCCTGACTGACTTATTTCACTTAGCATAATGTTCTCAAGGTCCATCCATGTTGTTGCAAATGGCGCTATTTCAGCCTTTCTTATGGCTGAGTAGAGGACTGGATAAAGAAGATGTGGTACTTATACACAGAGGATTTATTTTTTAATTTTGATTACGTTTGATGATGTAAAGAAAAGATTCATTTCAGAGCAGCATTTACATCACCTCCAGAGCTCCTTTTACCTACCCGTTCTTCCTTCATCTAGGAAGAGATTGAATTACTGTTTGCTCTGCAAAATGAATTGCAAAATTGATTAAGTTCACATTTTTCTCATATTTAAAATCTAACTAGTTAATTAAGGCAAGAAGGCCAGAACATATCTTAGCCTACCTTCATTATCCAAGAGAGCAATAAACAAACAAATATGCAAATGCTTATGGAGTAGTTAGGGTGCCTCTCCAACCTGGCCAAGAGAATTTTGAAGCAATAATTATAGAAATATTTTACAAAATTATACCCGTAGACTCAGATTTCACTCTAGAATAAGTATCCTAGTATTTGCATTGACATTTCTAAATTTCCCACTTTCCAGCTCTCTCCACTTCCTTATTTGGGCTTTAATCTACATATGCTTGATATGGTATGTCTTCCCCCATGGCAGTGCAGATTGAGGAATGAGCACTAGATAAGAATTTAGAACTCCGGCTCTGCCATTTGCCAGGGACATAACATTTGTGAAGGTCCCTTAAACCACATCAAACCTGTTTCTCTCTCTACAATGAGAGCGAGCTTACCTCACTGTCTTGCCTACTTCACAGTTTTGCTAGAACCAACTGTGTTAATGTGTTTGGGACCCACTTTGTAAACTGTTTAGAGCTAGGTGACTCATTATTGCAAAGTTAAGTTTCTCTAATTCTTAAACATTGGTAGCAAGTTGGGGTACTTCCCATTCTCACTGAATGAATCTGACCCCACTTTCTGTTTCCATGGGCAGGGCTGGGCTTTCTCCCAATCCTCTCAATCCTTCAGAAACAGAACCTATTAATTCTCTCCTAATTTTCTGCTGGACATCAGACTAAGACCAAATGCCCAGGTTTGGGTGTGATGCCTGAGGAAACTTTAGTCTACACATTTAGTTATTTAGATTAGGCTAATATTTTTTAATCCTCTCTCTTCATTTCTCTACTGGTTGATTTCACAACGCAATTCAACTTAAAAAGTTACATTCCTTGAGTACAAATAGCAGGATTTTACAGAAGTAGGCACACAAGGCATCGCTGGCCATTTTGACGTATTTTAAGAGGTGAATGTAAAGCCATGTCATTTTCAACAACATAGGCACAAGTAATCATGTTTTCAACCTGAAGACAAATTTGTGTATCCTGAGTGAGTGTTGCCTTTTTCTGACCTCACAAAAACTAATCCATTTTCCCCGTGTCCCTTGCAATGCTACTGCGATGAGCTCTATAACAATAATCTAATTCTGAGAGGGCACTTATGAAATTTAAGTTGCTGTCCTGATTTCTCTTTTCACCTATGTCACTAACTTCCTTGACATCCCCCAGCCTCTTCCTGTTTTCCGTTAAAGACCTGAGTTTTAATACATAGCGTTCTAGCCTGGGGGAAAGATACCACATGGTTAACCAGAATTCTTTGTCTATCATCTTATGCAATTCCAAGAAATAGTAGTAAGGATACTATGTGATGGAAAAGCATATTTGAATTACTTTTATATTTATTTATTTTTTCCTCACAGAATGCAGGCCAGGCCAATATGGACCTAACTGCGCTCTGACGTGCCAATGTGTCCACAGGACTCAGTGCAACCCGCTCAATGGGAGCTGTACTTGCCCCTCAAAGAGAATGGGTCCAACCTGTGAGGAAAACGTTTTGGATGATCTTCAATAACGGAACACTAGCAGCTTTTCAGTGGGTGGACAGAATTTCGCCAAGGCTCACCCACAGTTTATCATCTTAACTTTGGCAGGGAAATGCACTTACTCATCCATCTTCAGCCCAACCTCTCCTGTTGTGAGGTGAAAAATGATGTCTCCAATTTATGGCCTCCAAGTAGAAGTTCCATTCTCCAGCCTACCCTTCCCAACTTTCTTTTGCTGAAGAACATGCCCAAGAAAGAGAGAATATTTTTTCAAGATCCCAATCGTAGTAACATTTTGGACTAATAAACGAAACTCTTTTTTATATGCACAGGCGGTATTTAAATTTGGAAGTAAGAAATGCCTCTCAGTTCAGCTTGGACTGCACTGGAATATTCACACCTAGTCACTGAAGACCTCAGTGGTCATTAAGTAGCTGGATCCTCTTTAGAAATGTCTAGAATTTCATCTATTTATTCTTAGTATCCTGCTCCACAGCTGAGCCTGCTTCAGGTTGTTAATGTATTGTATTTCGAACATGACTTTTGGTGTGGGAGACTATTAAGGCTTTAGCCACATACAGATCTGGGTAAAAGTATGATGGGCACACTTACAATGAATCATCAAAATGCTTAGTGGTGTTCTCCTCATCACTGGTCAGCAGACAGGAAAAAAGTAACTAGAAATGATCAAGATGAGATGCTTAGCCTGCTCTGGGGGGGACACAAATTTCCAATAGAGTAGGGACTTCCTTCATTTCAAGGAAAAAATAAATAATAAATAAAAACAGTGACTGCCAACAGGGAGAATAAAACAAGAAAACCAGATTTCTCTTCCTTACTAGAGATCTTGTCTCCTATTACAACACGTGAGAAACTCACTCTAGAAAAAAAGTTTCCAGAAACTTTTCATGGTAGGAAAAAAAAAGAATAAGAGATTTCTTTTGGGTGAAATTTTTTATACCATAATGCTTAACTTTTTATAAATGAGAAGCCTTATGTAAAATGTTAAGCACAGTTCTTGGCAAAAGGTCAATGGCCCAATATTATCTCTTTTCATCCCCCATGCCACCCCAAACTCTAAAATAAGTCATGTGAGTGGGAAAGCAAAGCCATAGCCTAACCCTATATTTGTACTATCACATGACCCATAGACAAATGGAGTTTCACCTTCATCCTTATATCAGTCAATAAGAACTAATGCCTGTTACTGTGTAGCCACTTTTCTTTATAAAAGTTTTATAGGTTGTCTTTCATATCAAAAAATAAAATACAAAAGTGTTTAATATCCAGAATATTTCCATTTTCTGCTTGGTCACCTTGAAAAATCTTGATTTAGATGGCACCCTACAAAAGTTAATAATCGTGTGATAAGTTATTCCTTCTAAGAAATATTCCAGTTCTTCTGCTTGAGGACACTAGCAGATGTCTGAAAATTATTAGAGGCAATGACATTTCATTCATGGACCAACATACAATAAATGTTAAATAATGTCACAGCTGCAAAGTTATCAAATAGAATTTCCTTGCAAAATTATGTAACTAGAATTTTAAAAATCATTTTTAATAGCTGCATCTCAAAAATGCTTCAAATTAAGAATATAGTTCACAGTGACGTACATTTCTGAGCAAATAAATAATGTAGCCTTTTTACTTTCATAAGGATTTATCTGAGCTTTCTACATGTAAACAGTTATTCAGGTAGAGATAAGTGTAATCTGCCTACCAAAAAAAAAACCCTGTAATTTGCACAGAATTTTAAAAAATTCAGCTATTTAAAAGTAAGTCATGATTTAATAGGCATGTCCTCTTTAAACTAAAGTCCAGTGTCAAATTAGAGTCATTGTCATGGGGTAGAAATACTTCATATTACTCCTACTTTCCCTCCTTCTATAATCTGCTCTTTGAATGTAGAAATGCTGACCCCGAAAGAAATCCATCCACCCATAATACCCCTTTAGAAAGGTGCCTATGCTGTGATGTTTCAGGCCCTTTCATTTGAAATACAAGATCAGAGTGGGGATTATTATGCTTTTCTGCAATAATATAGCTCAAGTTTAAAGAAAACTGAGCAGATGTATGGAAGTGTGCTGGCTAATTTGGAGTTTCCATCTAGCATGCGTGGGATATACCATTTCAGTTTAACACCTAACGTTCCCCCTACTCTTTCTAACTTCTATGCTCATTTATTGAGTTTTCCAGATGAGACAGCTATTTGACACAGGCTAAATTATTTTTAGAGAACTTGGAAATCATTCCAAGAGTTAGTGGCAAGAATGGCATTTCCTTTGTTAGAAATAGCAAAGAGGGTTTGGCTTCTGCGGGGCCTCTTTCACCTCGGTTTCTTCGGGACCTGGTAATACAGACGTAGCAAGAATTTAAAAAAGCATTTTGATGAAGTGAACAAATAATAGCTACTGTCTGCACTCTAGGAGTTATGTATGCAATTCCGTTGAAATAACTTTTCATGGTTCTATGATAGAAAAAGTATCAAAGTAGCTGAGCTTTTAAAATAGATTTCAAGCAATTCCAAAGTTTTGACCCTTTTTAGCTAATCATGTAGAAACTATTTTCTACTTTTCCTGCTTATATTTTAGTTTTTCAAAATAAAAGAAAATAATACAAAAATCAATATTTGAAGTCTAGGAAATATATTTAAAGGCGGAAGATACCTCTTTTTATATTCTTTCAAATACTGACATACTCTTTCACTCTAAATATTTTGTCAATATTATATAAAACACCATTTAATCATTCTTCATTTTAATGTTTGTGCAAATAGTTCAAATTTTGAAAAAATATTATTTCAAATAGCTAATATTAACATTTTATTCTTCCACTGGATATATTAAAGATATATAGAAAATTTCATAATAATGCCTCTACTTAAAAACAATATAAGCGAATCCACAAAACATAATTTTATTGCTCAGACTTCATGAGAAAAGTTCAACAACAGCCCATCAGACAAAAAGATTCATGTGAAGAATTGGATATTAAGTTCTTAAGTGTTGACAATATTGGTCTCCTGAAATGTAGAGCATTGGTTTGTGAATAAAATTCCATATGTAAGAATTGGATGAATTTGGTAGCTAGTGTTGAACATGTATTTGATGAATAATGAAACTTGTGACTGATTAGGTATCTGAATGGTCAGTTGGTAATATTACAAAGCACTTACTGACTGAAAAATGCCTTCATTAGTGTCTTTTTAACTATTGCCTAAAAAGCAATTTTCTGTATTTTGACGCTATCCTGAATTTACTAACTCACTCAAAAATATTTATTGAGTGTCGACAATACTAGATATTGTTGGAGGCATAAAAAAAATAGTGGTGAACAAGATGGATGTGTTTCCTGCCCTCATAAACTTACAGTCTAGTAGATGATATTAGCCAACAAGTGCAGAGTTTTTAAACATTCTTAGCCTTTCAGTGAATTTAATAGTTCATCAATCCTTTTATAGTTTATTAATCCTTTCCTAAGTCTATTTCTCACAAATCTATTAATTCTCTTACATTCAGCCAAACTTTGATAAATGACATATATCCTACATCACCTTAAAAAATCTACATAGCAGGCTTTATACTCTTTAATGCCACTATAAGAAATAAAATATATGTTTTTTAATTTGTAAAATACTATTTTACATTTATAGAAAACCACATTATTTTTTGCAATGTAAAAGGCAAGTCCACTTTTAAATCTGTTGTTGTAACTCTGATAGCATGGAGACTGAGGTAATGGAAACAGAGAAAAAAAAAGAGTATTTGTCTTTTTTTTTTTGACAACTATCACATTCTTTTTTGACATCTATTGCTTTCTCTTTTGGTCAAGATGAGTGACTAAGATGAGTGACCAACATGAGTGTTTCCCACTGATAAAAGAGGGTATTTTTAGACATTTTTAAAAATCTAGTTTTATCATAAGGCAAGTAATTCTCTTATGTGTAAAGAAAACACCTTGCTATTTTAGTGGTGTCTCAAAACAAGGTTAGATTATTTCTTTTTAAAAATTATGATAAAACTAGAGTCCCAGTGCATGGATTCATGCACATTGAAAAGAAATTAATTAGAAGAAATATTTTAATATCACTATTCACCCTTTCTCTATAATAGAAGTATCAACCAAATTCATGATTGACAATGACAGATGGAAATGCGCACATGCAATTGGCACCAACGAGAGCTTTGTATGGATCGTGCATGAGCGAGTCAATTTAGCATTATAGATATAGAATAAACTTGTTTAATTAGACCTGCTTTCTGATGTAGCTAAACTTTTTCCAGCCCAGGGAAGCACCCCAATTTCTCTTTCAGGTATTTGTCAGCAGCACAGCAGTAAATATCAACACGAAGCAGATTATTATTGTAGATCATGCAGGAAGAACAAAGAGTAAAATATTTAACTACTGCAGTTTTTGACTGTATTCTTCACAGTGAGAAAACCTGAAGTCATTTTCAAGGTCCACCATTTCTTGCTTTTTTTCATATGGGTCATGTTTCTAAACTTTCTAAATGTCCATTTTCTGGCTAATGAAAAGAAATAGGATTCTACAGAATCTCCTATCTACTTACTCCAGGACTTCTGTGAGGATCAAATGAGATGAGGCACTGGAAAATGCTTCACAGACATTTGGTTCAAGTGTAAAATGTTTGCACCTGGCTATAAAGTAAGTTGTGTTCCTGGGCTGAAGAAACTCCAAATAGGTAGTCACTAGGGAAAGGAAGCTGGGCGTTGCTATGTGACATCATTACCTGGTGCCTACAGCCACCATTTCCCCGGGCTGGGCTGTGGGTCACATTTTGCGCCATGGGGTACTGGCAGCACTGGCTGAGATCTGGTGGGCTGTCACTCTGGGGTGGTGGTGGGGCCTGTGTCCCACTTGGGGGAAGCCAAGTGTTGTTTTGTTGGCACCAGGTCCATGTTGTCGTTTCTTTGTAAATGGCCAGTGCATATCACAGCAGCTCCTGCGTTGAACGTCTGCCCCCTGGTGGTCAGTGCGCATCATAGCAAATGGTCAGACAGTTGGAGGGACACTTAGCATATTAGCCTTTTATATATATAGATATACATAACATAAAATTTACCATCTTAACCATTTTTTAAATACACAGTTCAATGGCATTAAGGTTGTTCACATTGTTGTGCTACAATCACCAATGATTATTTCTTTTACTATGGGAAGAACTTCCTGATGCCAGTTGAGTGGCATGTAGAGTCAGCATAAGTTGGTCTGCTTGAATAACTTAATTCATATACTGTCTGCATTTGTGATTTTTTTATATTCTGTGACGACTTTATTTGAAAATATGCTTTCTATGTCTCTTCCTATGTGCTGGCATTTCTGAAACAAAGACATTTTCACATTTAAGCAGTTATACTATTTCTGGGGATCATATGACTAGAAGAACAGCCATTTTTCACTAAGTGTATCACAGTGGTAGCTCATTTATTTAACATGTGTCTAAATATGCTGATAAACAGTAAGCAATCAGCAAACTTATTGCATTCTATGAAATATTAATCAAACTTGTAATTCTATGTTGACCAACCCTCATAGACTTCCCAGATTTTATAACCTTTTTCTAAATATCTGCTCCCTGGGCTCCACTCTGGCCTTGAGGCTATGTGGCCTTGAGGCTGTGGTATACAGACTCCCAAGGTCATGAGGCCTCAAACAGTGTTTCCCAATGAGTATTCCAGGGAATTACAAGTTCGTAGTATTTAGTAAAGGAGAAAAGGGAGGAGAGAATTGCTTGGGTCTAATAGTCAATAACACCGACAATCAGAAAACTCTGGGTTAAATAGAGATACATAGTATATTTTACTGCAATGTTTTTTAGGAGCTCTAATATCCTATTGTGATTTGTGAATTTCTAATAGGAAGACACAGTACACAAAGAATTCCAAAATGTTAAATTAGGAGCATTTTGAAAAACTAGTGTCCCTAAAAAACACTTTTTGTGAAACATGTTAACAAATGTATATGGTGAGTAATGCCCTCAGAAACATCCTTGGTCTGGATATTCTGATCACACATTTTATGGTGTTTATAGTAATTGCCTCAGAATTCTAAGCAAGGCCTGTATTACTTTTATAGTTTCCCATGGAGCTGCTATGAGTCAGTAACTATTTCTCGAAATAGAGCTTTGGAAATGCAAAATAAAATGTTGATGAAATCTTTGAAAAAGCTGCCTTTCTTGTCTAATAAATATGAGAAATTCAGTAAACACTTCTTTAAATATTAAGGACAATTAGGAAAATGTGAAATAAATTGTTTTATTATTAAATGAAATATTATAAAAGTTATACAGGAAAATATGTTGGAAAATAAAGACCAAAGTTTAGTTAAATGCATTAAAAATTCTAAAGAGAGAACGTTCAATAGCACACTGGAATGAGAATCACTAAATGGTCAGATACATTGTCATGTCATAATTGAAATGTGTGAATTCTAATAGTATCACAGTTACTATGATCTATATAGTATTTCCTAATGATTGTTATGTTATTTATGAAATTTTTAAAGTATCCCCAGCTCTACACACACACTCTCTCCCTCTCTCTCTCTCTCTCTCTCTCTCTCTCTCTCTCTCTCTCTCTCTCAGACCTATTTATATTGGTGGTGAACTATTGTGGAGAATATCCTTTTGAATTATACATTTATGATACTTTTTGTTAAAACTTTATTAAAAATTATAAATTATTCCAAATAAATGTACACACTGTAGTATTCAGAAAAAAAGGTCTTTCTCACTTATAAAAACCTCCAGTTCTACATGACATAGATAAATGTAAAAATTTATAAACTGTTTTATGAATCACAATTCATATAGGATCAGGCTAAAATACGTCCTCCAATCCTAGTATGAGATACTATAACCCAGCTACGTTATGTGTTAGATAACCTAACAAAACAAGAGAGCAACACTTACGGAGTAGAAAATCTTGTGTTCTTGGAATCACAGAAACACAGAACTGGAAAAGACCTTAGAGCCCCTCTAGTCTCTTTGTTTTATAAGCAAGAAAACGGAGGCTCAGAGAATTAGGCCCCACAGTGAATAATCACAGAACCAAGATTTTCTTGTCTCTTATCTCTGGTCTCATGTCTTTCACCTTTTGCCTTTATTTCTTTTTTATTTTTATTTAATTTATTGGGGTGACACTGGTTACTAAAATTATATAGGTTTCAAGTATACAATTCTGTAATACATTACCTGTATATTATATTGTGTGTTCACCACCCAAAGTTAAGTCCCCTTCTGTCACCGTTTATCCCCCATTTACCTCCTACCTTTAGATTGCTGCCTTTCTGAGACTTGTGGACATTTTTTTTTTTTTTTGACTAAGAGGGTCAATGAACTTTGCTTTACAGAAATCCCTTTGAATCCTAGCTTTAGTATCATAGAACTTCCAACTTGCAGTGTCATCATTTATTAGACAGCCACACTATATGTGGGAGCAATAGTTAAATATGAACATAAGGAATTGAAGCCAATGAGAGCTCCATGGTCCTGTATGATTTTACAGTCTTTCAAGAAAAATCATCTCAATTTTATACATTTGTATATCTTCTTTGGCATATATTATTGAAACTTTACATTACAAATGACTGATTAGCCTACATATTTTAACAATTTGCCATAGCTATTAATTTCTGTAATGAATGATAAATAAAATTCCTAGATTTAAGCCACATACAACATGAATTTTTCATATAAGTTTGTTATATAAGTGTCAAAGAAACCTCTAAAATGCATTATTTAT